AAAGACCATGTAACTACTTACCATTTAAGAATTGGCATTCAGAAATTTATCTCCCAAGAACAAGTTGATCGCAATGGCGAGATTTATTGGAGATACTACTCTCCAGAAGTAAAGAAAGAGGTAGAAAAGTCAGAAGTAAGTAAGGAAGCATCAACACCAACTAAATCTGAACCTGACCCGATCACTAAATTTAACCAACGCCAAACTCAAGCCCAAGATTATGCCAAATCAAATATCTCCGAGCCAACAGTTAACGAGCAATCTAACTAGCACGGTTCAAAATTTAAGCACTAGTTTAAAAAATATTCAACCGCTTAGTTTAAGTAATTCCGAGACTACCCAAATTATCACCTACACCCTAATTGCTACGGCCATAGTCGGGATCTTTGTTTATCACTACATTAAAAATCAAGAAGCCAACTAACATGGGACTAAAAGACTATTTACCTAACTTCCAAGCCGCCCTCAATAACTTTTATGATGAACGCTTAAAAAACGCCTTGGAAACTAAAAGTCAAGAGTACAAAACTCTTTTTCAAGAGCATCTAACCCATTGAAAACAGACGCAAAAGGCTTTAGTAGCGATTGCTTTAGGAATCTTCTTGCTCTTGCTAATTGCTTATTTTTGAAAATAACCTAACCTACCTTTAACTTTAATCTCATCTAATCATTAATCTTAAATTATCAAACTAAAAAACAATATGAACTCAGAAAGACAATTAAACCAAATCACCATGGGTTATCGCTTCAAGTATATTGCTATCGGAATCGTCATCTACGTGGTAGCAAAACACGCTTGAAAAGTATACCAAAACAATAAATCTGAATAAAACTATGCTGCAAAAACTTCAAGAACACAAATGAACTATTATCGCCATTGTAGTTGCTCTAATAGTAATCTACTACTTCTATCAAAAGAATAATGGCTAAATTAAAACACCAAACCAAAGAATGCTGGGGCTGCGGTGACTCTTTTATCACTTACCGCCATTATGATTACTGCCCCGACTGTGCCATTAATGGCAGTCGCTACCTCAGTAAAAGTAATTGCCCGGAATGTGATGGTAGTGGAATGATTAAATTCCCTCACCAAAAACCACGACCCTGCAAACT